CAATGGTCTAGTAACTATGGCAGTGTTGGATCAAGGGTTGGACTTGATGGTCTCGAAGGTGTTTTCCAACCCAGCTGATTCTATGATTCTATGATTCTACAATACCAAGTAGTCTCCAAACATAAGGGTTTAATTTCACAATATGCCATTAAAATATAGGAATTGAATTATCTATATTTTCCACTGATTTTGGGTACCTAAAGCTGGGATCATATTTTTAAATAGCATATTATATAACATATGAAAGCTCAACATCATTTCAGATCCAACCTCGGAGTCTGAAACAATGAACCTCAAAACAAACAAAAAACATACAACGAAAATGTATCTGAATTCAAGTTGAAGATAAAAGTCCACTCTGCAAGCAGGTATCTGGTTTCCAAGCAATTTCCAGGCCCATGCTTTGTTCTTTCAGCTGACATGCTAACCATGAACTGGCAGCTTGGGACTTGGTTTCTAAACCGTGATATTGTTTTGTTTTTTTTTTTTTAAAGACAGACTCCCAAGATATCCTGCTAGCCTCCAATTTTTATATGACACAGCTTGTGTTTCCAAGACTTTCAGTTTGTCACTCTACAGCAGCCAACTGAGAAAACCTGGAACAACTATGGTGCATGAGTTTATAGAACCTTGAGATTTGGCTGATTCAAAGACAGAGTGTCTACTCTTCCTGGACTCAGTTTCCAAAGTTAAACTATTCAGAGAAAATTGTACCATGTATTGCCTTTCAACGAAGGGAAAAAATGTCCCACTTTTAACTTTTTCCTTATCATTTGGCTCCAGTGGGTAAAAAATGAGAATATTAACAATATTAATAGTGAGCATCAGCAGAAGTTTCAGCGGATGGCAGAGAAGGAAGCTTGGGATGGGCAGTCTCCAGCTAAGCAGAAATTTAACAGCAAATATATATATATGTATATATATATATAAAATTCTTTCAAGCAAAACCACAACTCTTGATGTGAGGAGAGCAGACTTCAGGCTGCTCAGAGAATTAGTAAGTAAGGTCCCCTGGGAAAGTGTTTTTGCAGATGCTGGGGTCCATCAGTGATGGTAACTTTTCAAACATCACCTCCTAAGGGCACAGGAATCGTCAGTTCCGAAATGCTGGAAGTGAAGCAGGCAAGGCAGAAGGCCGGCTTGGCTGAACAGGGATCTTCTCTTGGAAATATGGCAAAAAAGGAAGGTGCATGCCCAGTGGAAACAAGGTCAAGTGACATGGGAAGAATTCAGAAATTCTGCTTTCTGCTGTAGGGAGAAAATTTGTGCTGCCAAAGCCCAGCTGGAGTTGAAGCTACCAGAACTGTGGGGAACAAAAGAAAGAGGTTTTTCAAGTACATTAATGGCAATAGGCAGTATAGAAATATCATCAGCCCATTACAGGATGGGGATGATCACCTCACAAACAGGGACAGAGGCAAGGCAGGGGTGTTTAATGCATTCTTTGCCTCTGTCTTCAACTCGGATGATGGACCAAGGGGGTCTCAGTGCCCTGAGCTCCAGGACCATGACTGTGAGAATGATCAACTCCCAGTCAACCTTGAAACTGTGCAGGATCTGCTGCTCCAGCTGGATCCCTACAAATCTGTGGGGCCTGATGGGATTCATCCCAGAATCCTCAAAGAGCTGGCTGATGTCATCATACAACCTCTCTTGGTGGTTTTAGAGTGGTCTTGGGAATCCAGAGAGGTCCCAGCTGACTGGAAGCTGGTGAACATTGTCCCAGTTTTCAAGAAGGACAGGATGGAGGACCCCAGAATCTACATACTCATCAGTCTCACTTCAGTGCCCTATAAAGTTATGGAAAAGATTATTGTGGGAGGCGTTGAACAACATCTGAAAGACAACGCAGTCATTGGTCACAGCCAGCACAACATCATGAAAGGAGACTCCTGCTTATCCAACTGGATTTCTTTTTAAGACAAGGTAACCCACCTAGTTGTTCAAGGGAAGCCAGTTGATGTAATCCTTTTAGATTTCAGGAAAGCTTTCAATACTGTCTCTCACAGGATCCTTCTGGATAAAATGTCCAGAATGGACAATGGATAAACATATCATGCAGTGGGTGAACAATTGGCTCATGGGTGGAGCACAGAGGGTAACAGTGAATGGGGCAACATCAGACTGGTGACCTGTCCCTAGTGGGGTTCCACAGGGCTCCATCTTGGGCCCTGTGCTCTTCCACATCTTCATAAATCATTTGAATGCAGAACGGGAAGGGATACTAAGCAAGTTTGTAGTTTATACAAAACTGGGAGAAGCTGTTGACTCCTTGGAAGGCAGGGAGGCCCTGCAGAGAGACCTTGACAAATCAGAGGACTGGGCAATCACCAACCATATGAAGTTCAAAAAGGAGAAGTGCCGGATTCTGCCCCTGATGTGGGACAACGCTGATATATATACAGACTGGGGAACGAGATGCTGGAAAGCAGTGCCATGGAAAGAGACCTGGGAATCCTGTTTGACAGCAAGTTGAATATGAGTCAGCAGTGCCCTGGCAGCCAGGAGGGCCAACCATGTCCTGGGGGGCATCAGGCAAAGCATCTCCAGACAGTCTGGAGAGGGGATTGTCCCACTCTGCTCTGCACTGGGGCGGCCTCACCTTGAATATTGTGTGCAGTTTTGGGCACCACAATATAGGAAAGATATTAAGCTCTTAGAGAGTGTCCAAAGATGGTGAAGAGCCTTGAGGGGAAGCTGTGTGAGGATTGGCTGAGGTCACTTGATCTGTTCAGCTTGGAGAACAGGAGACTGAGGAGAGACCTCATTGCAGTCTACAACTTCCTTGTGAGGGGAAGAGGAGGGGCAGGCACTGATCTCTTCTTTATGATGACCAGTGATGAGACCCAAGGCAATGAAGTCGTGTCGGGGGAGATTTAGGTTGGATATTAGAAAAAGATTCTTCACCCAGAGGGTGGTTGGGCACTGGAACAGACTCTGCAGGGAAGTGGTCACAGCACCAAACCTGGCAGAGTTGAAGAGGTGTCTGGATGATACTCTCAGGCACATGGTGTGACTCATGGGGATGGTCCTGTGCAGGGCTAAGAGTTGGACTCGATGATCCTAATGAATCCCTTCCAACTCAGCATATTCTGTGATTTAAATAAGTATTGTGATTTTATATGTCACCGTTTTATCAATTTTGCAATATTCTTGTTATTGGGAAAAAACCCACTAACAGCAAATTTTCATTTACTTTCCAGTCCTTGATTCATAAGAAAAAACAGAGCTCTAAGTTCCATGTAGTGTCTTATCCTTGTATCACTTGCCACTACATCAAGGGTAAATTCTGAAAGCAATGTTTTTTTCCCCATATCATCTTCTGCTGAAAGGAGCTCTGATGTTTTTGCTGAAATTATTTGGAATTCTGTCAAAGGCTTCAGGATAAGCATATTGCAGTCTGGCATTGAATTCCCAGACAAAGAAGAAACAACTATAGACGCTATCATGAGAAAGTTGTTTATAAATCCAGAAACAGAATTGATGACAGCTAGTGTAGCAGTCTTTAAATTAAGGCCATTAGTATAAATATCAAATGTGGTACTTTTGCACGTATCAAAATTTAAACAGGACAGTGTAAGTAGCATCCTGAGACAGATATTTTCTGGTTTTCTCTGTCAGCGTTTGCAGACGTAATATTTCTAGCTGGCCATTTAAAGGCTAGGATTAGTGAGAGAAGATGCATTTTAAGTTGTTTGAGATAGAATGCCCTATTGTTCCATAGATACTTTTATCTTTTCTTGTAAACTCTTTTTATTTGTTTGTGTTTTGTCTGCCCAAGCGCAAAACAGTTCACCAACTCCACTTTGGACTAATAATGAAATCTACATCATCTAAAGCTAACAATGTATTTTATTACAGGTTGCAACAGAAGCTCATATTTCATCTTCCTTGAATAATCTCAGAATTGCAAAATAGAATCTCAAACACACAAATGTCTATTTAGAATATGCATTTGTATACCTACATACATGCATGTGTATACACACATTTATAACTTTCTGTAGAAATGGACATGAACAACTAGACCAATACATGTAATAGTTACTTTTAAAAAATGAATGAAAGTGACTTCAATGTATCTTGTGAGCTTCTTCTTAGAAACTAGAATGGCTGGGAGGTATTCAGTTTCAGCAACTAAAAAAAGAAAATATAATCTATACTCAAAAGATTAATTCAAAACCTGATGGATTCCATTGTTTTTGAAGCAGAGAGGGGTTCTATCATCTGTCTTTGTTAAAAAATGAACCAAGAGAATATTTCATTGCTTAATTTTTCTGTTTGGAGGCAGAGAAGAGTGGGACATCAGTAGTATCTAGGAACTGTCTAGGTCACTGCCCAGCATCACTTTTTTACTGAAGAGCATGTCTCTCAGTTTGGAAAAGACAACTAAGTCTGTGTTCAGCTAGACTCTTAGAAGTTAAGTTTAGAGAAGTCCTAGCAAGCAGATTCAAAGACAGTTACTATAAAAGTCACGTAAAAGTCGTGGAAGCTTGAAATATAAATGGGGGAAAAGAGATTTTCATTTCAGGACTGGAAAAGTTAAGGGGTAATGTACTGAAAGGGAATTAAATTAAATAAGGAAGGTAAATGTGAGTTTTGAAATTTATTAGTAATATTATTTCTGCTGATTTTTCAAGAGATATTATTTAAAACCAAGGCAAGGCTTAAAGTTATGGATATCTTAATTTGATATTAGTTCTAAGTCTGTGTGATTGGAAGAATCCAAATAAATTACACGATAAATATACTAGGTCATGGTAATTAAGCTTAAAGATAGTTTCCTTTTAAAAGGTGCATCTTTAATTTAAGCTACCTTTTTAGACTCAAAATGAGTGTCTTATTTCTGATATAATGAATTTTGATCTAGAAAGTAGAAACTAATTACATTTAAAGTGTTCCGCTTAAGGCTTCTCATAAATATAATGAGAGTAGAAATGACAGAAAAAGATCAAAAGAAAAACTAATACTTGCCTTTTTATATTTATTTTACAGGAAATGTGTTTGTTGTAAGCCTGGCAGTTGCAGACTTGATTGTAGCTATCTACCCATATCCACTGGTCCTCACATCTGTGTTTCACAACGGATGGAAACTGGGATACCTACACTGCCAGATTAGTGGCTTCTTGATGGGCCTAAGTGTCATTGGATCAATCTTCAATATTACAGGCATCGCTATCAATCGGTACTGCTATATCTGCCACAGTCTCAAATATGACAAGCTATACAGCAACAAGAATTCATTGTGCTATGTTGTTCTTATATGGGTCCTAACATTTGTTGCCATTGTGCCCAACCTGTTTGTGGGATCGCTACAGTATGACCCCAGGATTTACTCGTGTACATTTGCACAATCTGTGAGCTCAGCATATACAATAGCAATTGTGTTTTTCCATTTCCTGCTTCCCATAGCCGTAGTTACTTTCTGTTACTTGAGAATATGGATCCTTGTTATTCAGGTAAGGCGAAGGGTTAAACCAGATAACAACCCTAGGCTGAAGCCACACGACTTCAGAAACTTTGTAACCATGTTTGTAGTATTTGTACTGTTTGCAGTCTGCTGGGCCCCTTTGAACTTTATAGGCCTTGCTGTGGCTGTCAACCCAAAAACTGTAATCCCTAGGATTCCAGAGTGGTTGTTTGTATCTAGTTATTATATGGCATATTTCAACAGCTGCCTTAATGCTATAGTATATGGACTCCTGAACCAGAACTTCAGAAGAGAATACAAGAGAATTATTGTCACTTTTTGTACAGCAAATGTTTTTTTCCAGGATAGTTCTAATGATGCAGGAGACAGAATGAGAAGTAAACCTTCTCCGTTGATTACAAACAACAATCAAGTAAAGGTGGACTCTGTCTGAAAATGGGAATCTTACTGTCATTCAACAGCATCCAAATAAAGTCTCTGTTTTATTAGTTCTACTGTTAGATATTATAGTGAAATATATCGTCTACACTGAGAGCACTTTGATCAAATTCCTTTCATAGTATTTGGGAGCTTGATATAGAGCCATGGTATACAGGTCCTATTATACAATGGTGTATCTCTTGTATAATGACATAATGATATCCTTGAGTGAATAACAAGTTACGCATGGATACTTGTTTTGTTCCCTTAGATGAAGACAAACACCTAAAAAGAGATTGAAACAGAAGTATCCACACTGCCTAGTGCAGTAAAACAAATCATAAAACTCTTCCTGCCACTTTCCACCTGCTTTTTCTGGCCAAGTTGTGGTCTTGATTCTAAAACCTCTGGAAACTTCTTTTAAAAGAAGGAATCAGGCCTTTATGAAATATATTAGGAGATGTGAAGTGAAAAATCAAGGTAATTGAAAATTCATCAAGATTTTTGATAAGTACCTCTATCTATATTGCTTTGCTACTAACATGGACACAGTTATAATTTTCTTTGGATATTAAACCTCAGCAACCCTCCTAAGAATGACATTCTCAATTGACTTCTCAATTTTAAAATAGCTTTAAAGGGGAGAAACATGCCTGACTGATTATCTTCAAAGCTCCAAGGGCAGGAAGATAAACAGCAAGGAAAGAAAAGAGCTGTGATTCATCAGGTCAAGCCATTCCAGCATGAAAAAAATGTGTAGGAGGGTTGGGAAGAGAAATTTAAATTACCATTATTTCTGAAGAGATGGTAACTCATGAAATGGGGAAGTGCCCCAGAGGAGCTTCTGAGGAAACACCTTCTAGAAACATAGGTGAGGAAGACTGTTATATCTCACCTGTGTAAAGGATAGAAGTTCTAAACCTCTGTGAGAAGAAGATTAATGCATTTAATACGAGTGGCAAGTTTTGTCTCGTCAGTGGAATCTTAACCCCATGCAACCCTGGGAAATAAGATACAGAATGAGCATTTAACATCTTTTGGAAATTGTTCTCATGAGAATAGCCTGAGACTAGAGGTTATTTTGTAATCTGACACAGATGAGCTTTTCAAATTAATAATTAGGTGTTTAACACAATTATGAACATAGTAGAATAACCTAGAACAATTAGACACCTTTAAATAATAGAACAGAGAAGATACTACTTATGACAGTGGCCCAAAGAGGAACATGTGACTCTCAGGACAGGAAGTGTTATGTGGACTTTCCACAGATAGCAGGCACCTCTTCAGTGAGGGGAAGTACACTGTGAAGTGAGGAAGAATAGCTAGGCTGTCTCCTGCAACAAAGAATGTCTGTTTATAATGAAGTCCTCTGGTGGAGAAAAGCAATTCACAATAGGATTCACCTTCAAATTGACCTTAAAAAGAAGGAGCATTTAGTTCTGGAAAGACGCTCCAACTGTCATAGCTTTTAATGCTCAAGCATTTATACCTACAGAGATGTTCGAGTACACTTGAGCTTTTCCAAGCCGATTCCAACAATGTCAATGGGACTAAGAGTTTCTGAATAGCCATCAGACTTCTGTTAGTCTATGTTAAAATGTGAATTTTACCTAAAGAATTTTTTTAAAATATTATTTACTGTAATGGAGATTTTCTTGAGCTTGTATGTCTTAGAAAACAACAGTTACTCTATGTCATAGAACTCCTTAAACTGCATATGAATCTGACAGCATTTCATCTTTCTTGGATCATAGATTAGCATACCCTTGACTTAATAATGAACTAAAAGGAAACACATTCATATTTACTTGAAAGCAGTACTGACACTTCATTATCTGACCAGTTTCTTACCTTAAAAACAGGTGCCTCATGTCATGTTAACAACAGAACTAATGAACAACATTGTAAAACCCTGGTTATGAACTAGAAAGTCAATGCATTGCCAAGGTGCTTGACTCATCTTTGTTTACATTTTTCAGTCAGAACCACTGTGTAAATAACCAGCTCTCTTCTATTGTGGTATCATCATGTGATGCGATATGATACAACATGATTAACAGCATAAACTATATCACAGCTTTCTTCACTGTGATTTCATCCTTGGAGGATGCTTAGCTCTGTAATTTTATTGCTTTGTGCGTAGTGATTTTAGAATAGCAAGGGAGGCATGACTACCTTACAAGAAAATGAGTTTTTCATGCAAGAGAAAACAATATTTGAATTCTTACAAAAGTTGCCTTATTTAAAGCATATTTTCAATGAAAATGATGTCTTATGATATATTTATTAAAGTAGCATAAAGACAGCTTAAGTAGCTTAATCATTAGTAAGTTTAGGATTCTCAAAGATCTGTCACTTGCCATTTCCAACAGAAAATGTACATGTGTCTCATGTCTACATATTTATGAACCGGTTGAAGACACTGTATCCAATATTGTGGGTTATCTGTGGAATTAAAGTCCCCTGTAATTTGCAAGTGCTAAAATATATTTTTGGTGACAATGAAAATGCTTTGCTATATACAACAGAACAAATTATACCAAAGGTATATATTTTATTGAATAGGCCTGTAATAAAAATGAAGAACTTTTTTCAGATCTGTATTTTGAAATATTTGTATTAAATCTACATCACAGAATTTGCATGTTGGTGCAAATTTTTAAGCTGCTAAATATTGCAATAATTTTAATAAACTAATCCCTGGTTCTTCTTTGGGGGGCAAGTCTTTAGAATTTAGTTTAAAATTACTATGGATGAAAAATTTGAGCAACATCTGCTACTCTCATGAGATTACTTTTGCATTTACTGCCATACTGAAGTACTTTGCAGTAATGGTTACTTTTAATCCAAGTCTATTGCTTCAAAGGAGTTGAAGTGATTTATCTAAGACAATCAGCAACCTTGTCAGCTGCTCATTGACAATGGGCATGACAACGTCAGTCAGCACCTCACAACATCTGACTCTTTATGGTCAACATAAAGATTGATAAAAATGATAATGATTTCTGTCCATTCTAAGGAGATGGAGTTAGAAACTTATCCAAAATTAGTTGCTTCTGTGAAAGTAGATGACCCTTGATGTGTTTTTTTACATTCCAAAACATTAAATTTTCCCCTATACTAAAGGTTAGAATAGAAAAACTGCATTATTTAGAGTTCTGTCTGGATGGTTTAGATAGTGTACTTGTCCTGCAGCAGTCATCAGCCCTGGACAGATTAATTTCTAAATTGCGAGTCTTAGGTGTCTGCCACATCTGCAGGGGCCCGTCCCTTTTATATTTCCTATCCATTTCTGGTCTGAGCTCCCGTGAAGCCAAAGAACTCTGTGAAGGAGCAGTGCACGCCTCTGTAGGCAGCGCACCGAAGACTTACAGCATAATTGACCTCTACCTTATCCTACAAGAATTTCTTTCTTATATTCCAGTCTTGATTACATTGACAATCTGAATATGATCTTATATCAAAACATCTTGTACTCTTACAGACAGGTGGTCATCTGCATTGCAAACTTCATGTTAACAAAGAAGCTTGGCAGTATTACATATTTACCAGCAAAGAGAATCTTAATGAATATATTAATATCAAACAGGGTATTTATTGTAGTTGAACTGTAACTGTATGCAACAATGTAGTTTCATTTGGAATAGCTTGCTTAAGAGTGCTTTGCACATTTTCTTCTACCACTGGGCTAGTGCAAGTGCAGAGATATGAAGCAAACATATGTTATTTCAATAGGCATAATATATAGCAATGATTTTACTGTTTTTCTTTTGCTTATTATTTGTTTTAGAAGGTAGGTATAGGAATCATCCATAATAAACATACTATCAATCTGTATTAGTGTATAGTGCATCCTTCTATAATGATCACATCTTTTTCTTCTTTTTGACCACTTTTGAAATGGTATCGTGTGAGATCTGATTAATTATGACATACTGAAGGGAACTGCTATTTCCCTTAAACTGCACTGAAAAAAACAGTCATAAAAAAGTCTCCTTAAAATATAATACACAAGTACATAAGTATATGTGGTCATCCAGTTTAAAATACAATTTCAAAATCTTCTTCTATTTGAAAAACTTGTTCACAAACTGTAGTAATATAGATGGACTGTTATTCTTTAATTCTTTTCTAATAACTGCACTTTCTAAGTATTATTAACAAGATTTATGAATAATTAAGAAGTACAAATGTCTGTCATCTTGTCACTGAGGTTTGGGAAATCACACATGCTAAAGCTGAATTTTTTAGAAGAAAAAATATTCAAGTAGTGGCCTGGCTTATAGCCCCTGTACTGTATCTCAAATTTTTGCCTGTGTTAAGAATTCCATCATGTGGTTTTATGAATTTACTTATTAAAAATTTTATTCCTACCTCAAAGATGTGTCTGAGAGATTGTAATATGAATAGGGTGGAAAAAGACTTACAGTACAAGTCAATACCTTTTATAATTTTAAATAGAAACAGAAGTAAATTCATCAAAGAAGTACATATATTAATAATGGTCATAGAAAATATTTTCCCAATTTAATATTATACTCATCACTCAAACCATCCCTACTACCACACACTGACCAAAGTATGCCCATTTTGAAAAGCATGTTATTCATAAAAGGAAATACAGGTTATTCCAAAAGTTATAACCAAACAGCATTTGAGACATAGTGTCTCATTTTCATCTCACATAAACCAGCACAGTTTCAGTGTGTCATGTCAGCTGAGGATTTTGACATATTAGATTTCATAAATCTAAAAATTAGCTATTTTACGCTATTTACACAATAAATATATATTTTATTTCTAAGGAAGTCCACAATTGTCAGCTGTCCATGTTGTGGGAGAATGTGAATTTGCCTATTAACTATCTGCAAATTTAACTTCATCCAGTGGAACTGTCTCTGTGATTTGTCATTTTTATAAGTAAATATGTAAAGTCAGCAGTCTTTTATGTGGCTTCATTCTTATGTATAAGTTGTATCTATTTAGCAGAAAATTGTACCAACATAAGAGATTTAGAGACAGGAAGTCTACTTCCTGTTATTCTTTCTGCTTGTATTGCATGTGCACTCAGGGCTTTGATTTAATCACAAGAATTTTACTTTGCATGTTTGTTTCCAGATTCTAAAAGTGCTTATACTCAAATAAGTACCCTTCACTCTTCTTCAATATGTATAGATATTCAGTTTTTTATAATGTATATAAAATTCAGGACAATACA